TCATGCATGTTACTTTTGACGAGACTAACTCTTTTGATCGAGAGAAAGGTAGTGATGATGATGCAGGTTTGGAAGCTCCTTTTGAACAAATGAAAATTCAAGACCAAAATAAGGAAGCACCAAATAAAGAAAATGAGAAATCGAATGATCAAGAAAATGAAGAAAAAAAGCCAAAGAACAAAGTGACCTCCCATTACCAAAGGAATGGAGATTTACTCCATCCCATCCAAAGGAGCTTATTATTCGTGATCCAACAAAAGGTATTACTACTAGAACTTCTTATAAAAATCATCTCGGTAGTTATGTATTTATTTCTCAAATCAAACCTAAAAATTTCAAAGAAGTCGAGTTTGATGAGTTTTGGATTATAGCAATGCAGGAAGAATTAAATCAATTAGAGAGAAATCACATTTTGGACTTAGTCACTAGACCAAACCATCAAATCGTTATTGGTACCAAATGGGGTTTTAGAAACAAGAGAGATGAAAATGGAATTATTGTGTGTAACAAAGCTAGATTAGTAGCTTAAGGTTACAATCAAGAAGAAGGTATCAATTTTGAAGAAACATTTGCACCCGTAGCAAGACTAGAATCCATTCGCATGCTTCTTGCATTTACATTTTTTAAAAATTTTACACTTTATCAAATGGATGTTAAAAGTGCATTCTTAAATGGATTATTCAAGAAGAAGTGTTTGTTGAACAACCTCGCGATTTTAAAGATCACAAGTAGCCGGATCATTTTTTAAACTAAGAAAAGCTCTTTACGGTTTAAAACAAGCTCCAAGAGCTTGGTACGAACGATCGAGCAAATTTCTTCTTTCAAATAGTTTTTCGATTGGAAAAGTAGATACTGCACTTTTTGTAGAAACTTATAAGGAGGATTTACTTATTGTTCAAATTTATGTTAACGATATTATTTTCGTCGTAACAAATAATCTTCTTTGTGAAGAATTTTCAAAATGTATGAGTAAAAAATTTGAAATGAGCATGATGGATGAATTAAAATTGTTTCTTGGTCTTCAAATTAAACAAACAAAAGCAGGAATCTTCATAAATTAAAATAAATATATATTAGACATGTTTAAAAAATTCAATATGCATGACATCAAACCTATGAACACACTAATGAGCGCATCCCAAAAACTTGACAAAGAAAAGCAAGGCACATCCATGGACATCACTAAATATCGAGGTATGATTGGATCCCTTCTTTACTTGACTGCTAGTTGACCCAATATTATGTTTAGTGTTTGCTTATGTGCTCTATTTCAATCAAATCCTAAGGAATCTCATTACGTGCCGTAAAATTAATTTTTCGATATTTAAGTGGAACTAGAACCTTAGGACTTTGGTATCCCAAAGGCACACGGATTGATTTGATTGCTTATAAGAATGCCGATTGGGTCGGATGTAGTGTTGATTGTAAAAGCACCAATGGAAATTGTCATTTTTTAAGCTTTGCACTTGTGTCTTGGTCTAGCAAGAAACAAAATTTCGTTGCACTATCCACGCCGAGGCCGAATATATTTTGGCTGCAAGTTGTTGGGCACAAACTCTTTGTGATTATCACTTATGTTATGATCATGTGCCTATTTTTTGTGACAACACTAGTGCTATTAATTTGTCTAAAAATCCCGTCTTGCGTTCACAAACAAAGCACATAGAAATTCGACCTCACTTTCTTCGTGATCATGTAAAAAGGGAGATATTGAATTAAAATTTATAAAGACCGAGGACTAATTGGCCGATACTTCACCAAACCTCTTGCACACGATCGTTTCTCATCTATTCGAAGAGGTTTATGAATTATCAATGAAGATGAAGTGCCATGAACTTAAATTCTCTTAAATGTTACTTGTAGGTCTATTTTTTAAAAATAAAAAAGGGGGTCTACCAAATGAATCCAATGCACTGTCCAATAGAATAGTTGGTACCGAACAAGTCCAAGTAGATTATCCAGTGCAAGTGTTCAGTTTGGCAGAAAAATTTCAACTCTGCTTTATCGAACGTCCGATATAATGTACCGGATATCCGGTACACTAGGAGATCAGAATTTTAAAATTGAGAACAGAGCCCTTTTTCTTCCAATTTTTTTTCTTGTTCTTCATAAACTCTCCCTCTCATCTCTTGAACACCAAATCAATTAACCCTCTTACTCTACATCATTTTCCACTTCAAATACTTCAATTTTCCTTCATTTTTCCCCAATTTCGAAGCCCTAGCCCCATTCATTCAACCTTTCTTCGATTCTCACAATGGCGGGATCAAAGGGAGTGGGAAAAAGAACTAAAGCAATAGAAAGACGGCCTCCACAACCATCTTTCAAAGAAGAAATGGATTTCGAGCCTGAAGTGCCGATAAACCGATTTGAAAAGTCACCCACTCTAATCGGTAAGAATTTAGATTATGTCGACTTCACTATCAAAGCACCTGCATTTCACATCAAAGAATTTTTTGAAAACGTGGGTTGGATTTTTGTTTCCACATTAGAAGAGCACGCCTATCCCCAGCTCAATAAATAATTTTATCACAAAATGGTTACCACTCCTCGATTGGATGAAATTTCTTGTTTGATTAATAGTGTACATGTCACAATCATTAAAAACTTAATCCGCGATATCCTTGAGCTTGATGAATGTGATACGAAATTTTTTGTTCACAAAGGTCATCCGATATTCGAAGGTTACTCCCCGGCTAATGCTTGTCGCTATGTAATGGGAAAAGATTTGAAAATATTATGAAAATTAGGGCAAATCAACTCATTCTTCAATACAAAGTTTTACAAAATATTATTGCACGTCATTCTTCCTAGGAAGGGCCATCAGGATGAGGTGAACTACTTTGATATTTTAATACTAGATTCATTCCTAGTTGGTTGAAAATTAGATTTCCCGACCATTGCCTTTAATCTCATGAAACTCATACATTCCTCACGATATACAAAGGCTTACTTTACAGCATGTTACTTACCAATGCATGATGAGACTTTTGTTCAACTCCGTCCCACCAACACAATTAACATACAAACACTCAAACGCATGAAAATCACTAAATCACACGGTCAATGGGTGGCTCAAACAAAAGGGTTCGACTCCACTTCGGGACCTTCTACTTCGGCTTTTGAAGAAGAAGGTGAAGAAGATGAGGAAGGGGCGGATGATACTCCACATTTTCCTCATGCTTTATCAGACATTCCCGGCTCAAGTGCTTCACGTCCTTCAGGTGGTCATTTCACATTTATTACGGACTACTATAATCTTCTAAATGGCCGGATGGATTCTCTTACGACTACCGTTGACGGACTAGGTGGGATGCTTCATCATATTCAATATCAACAAGCTCGACAAGATGCCATTCTAGCACAGCAGGCAGAGATGTAAGCTCGATAGAATGAGTTTTATGCGCATTTCTTTGCCATATTGCAAATCATCGTATTTGTCATAATCAAAAAGGGGAAAATTGTTGATCTATGATTAACTTCTCGTGTTGATTATTACAAATAAATCACATTTATTTCAAACAAGTTTATTTAAGTGTTGATAGAAAACATGCTAACCAAACTTTGAAGAGGCAAAGGCGACGATCAAATAAAAGAAAAATCAACGTGGTGAAGAAGTCTATAGAAGCATGGCATGCACGTCAAGACAAAGAGTCATATTGAAGATAATAGATTTAGAACTTTTTCATCTCATATTTGAAGGTAATATGCTTCAATAGTTTAGCAATATATCGTAAAAAGGCTCAAGTGTCGGCTTTATACACAAAAATTTATTATTTCACCAAAATACTTGTAAAATATTTTTCAAGCGACAATTATCTTGAAAAATCATATATAAATTTCTCTCAAAGTATTACCTTTATCAAATGATCGAAGAAATTTTATTTTCTGCCGTAGCGGACATCCAGTAGAAAGACAGTAAAATTTTTTAACCTTTCTGACTTCTAAAATAACAATAGCTAGTGATCAGTCTGGTATGATAGCAGACGTCCGCTATGCCTCGTCAAGTAGGACAGTTTTTTTGACGGTTTCACTACTATAAATACCTTTTCACTTCCTTAATTGAAATAACCTTCTTTGAGCATTAAGTGAAACTTTTATTGATTTCAACTACTATTTTAAATCTTTAGAAGATCAAATTATTTACATCTTGAATAACTCTTGCATGATCAAAACTATCATAAATCTTTCATCTCAAGTTTTTCAAAGTAACACCTGAGCTATATAATCATTGCAATCTATTGAAGTGTTAAGCATACTTTTCTCTCAATACTCAATTGTGATTATTCCATTTATTAAGAGAGAGAAGTTCTCACTTGTAATATCTCCTTCTCTTATTTTCAATTGTGGGTCCCAAAAAGCTCAACGTTGTAAAAGGATCCGTGCCCCTTGGTTGTAAGTCACTGAAAGATTTGTAAAAGGTTGGATTGCATCATAAGTCAATCACATTTAGTGGAAATGGCCTTGTTCGTGACGGAGAGTTTTGTAATAGGGGACGTGGATCGTGATTGGATCGAACCTCCATAACATATTGTTTGCATCTTCTTTCCCTTTCTCTAGTTATTTTTTAAAGCTATCTTGCTTGCTCATTTTCTTATTTGCAAATTGATTATATTATCATTATTTTCAAAAATGATTTAAATATCCAATTCCCCCCCCCCCCCTTCTTGATTAGTCGTTCTTGGGCTTTCATAGCAATCCACTTTGTAAATGTAAACAAGGATCAAGATTTCTTCTCAGTTTGTACCCATATGGACAACCAATTATCTTAGTGGACAAGGACATAATAAAAAGTAGGACCAATGGCAGGAAATAATCTGGATTTTTATTGCCTTTCTTACTAGCAACCCACTTTGCAAAATGTAAATTATGAACGGTGGCTGTCATTTAGATCCTCTAATGACGTGCTTTATTCCAAATTCGAACATGTACTTGCCTCTCTCAAATTAACACATAACACCACATCGATATTGAACACTAAACACCAAATCCATCCACAATTCAACTTGACAGCCTTAAAGAAAAAATCAAAAATTAATGGCACTTACAACAACGATACCTAACCCAGAATGTATATATGCCCCGTTTCCATGGTAAAGGAAGCAACAGAAAATGGAAATAGAAAATGAGGCCACTAGCCCCCCAGGGCACATCCGAGTTGGTGGAACAATCACTATGGTGGGCTTGCAATCTCAACGTGGAGAGTTCGATTCCTGATCAACGCAGCGAGGAGGATTCTCTTGGGGCCAGGAGTATAAACCAAGTGGGAACCTAGGGGCCAATAAGAGCATAACCTGCGATTTACTTCCTCGAGTCACCGAGGGGCCGGTGGCTAGAGGTTCAGGATTTAGTCTGGCGAAGCTGGGATACCTGGATAAAAAAAAAAAAAAAAAAAAAAAAAAAAAAAAAAAAAAAAAAAAAAAAAAAAAAGAGAGAGAGAGAGAGAAAATGAGGCCACTAGGTTGAATATGAATGACAGTACATAACAAAGTATGGGACAGTCGGTGCAACATTGTCAGATATGTATGGGGCGAATTGAAATGGTTACCTTAATCTTCCGGTTCCACCATTCCTCCAATGTGACGATTTGATTGGTGGATGGGTTGTACTCGACCCCGCTACAATTTAACAGCTCAGAGAGATGTATGTGGGTTTGACATATGGCGTTCCAGTGATTGCACAGTTGTTGCTTGCTCCAATTGTGCCCACTGATTGAGTTGAATAGAGCGGAGACTCGTTCCCAGCTGTGTTTTGTAAAACACCGAACATTACGATGACCCTCGACAATGGCGGTTTCACACGCTGCAATAAATGTTTGGGTCTCCGACGCATTCCATCGCGCATAAGATTTCGATCCCAAGAGTGAAGTTGGGCATTAAAAGTGAGAAAACATCGAAATATTGTTTTGAACAGAATGGTAATACATAGAAAGCGAATAAGTATGGGGTTGGGAAACCTGATTGGTATTAATCCCAAGAGGTTAATGATATGCATTCAATTCGGAAGCCCATTCTTGCAGAACCGTTTCTATTTTCTTTAGCAAATTTGTAGATCAACTACTATACATTACAAGTAGTTTTTGATGTGGGTATATGGAATTCTTAGTGGGCTTCTTTCAGTCATGGTTTGAATCAATAATCAAATCGTGATATTTTCGATTATGGAAAGGATTGAATTTTCTCGAAGTGCTTCCCTTGAAAGGACTTCACCTTCGATTATGGTGGTTGGTTGGACATTTATATAAAAAAGAATCCTTTTCCTTAAAGTCGTCATCCTGCTGAACTTTTTTCCTCCCTTAACTTCCCAGTTTCAGTGAACAAATAACACGGTAGTGTAACCGGAATAACGTCCTCGTCGTCGGCAAATGTAGGACAAATGTTGGAGGCATATGAAGTACCTGTGTGTCAGCGGGATCCATTTGGTCGGCGAAGATGTGGGCTTGGATGCGGGGTTGTGGACGCAATATGGGGGCGGAGTTGTTGACGACTCTTCCATGGAAACGTGTTGTGTAGACCTTTATGGAACTGAAGTATCATTTGCTAGTTGTGCGGGTTAAGGGTTTCCATCGAAATATTGAATCTGCGTTTGCTTCAGTGTGGGTTTTAGTGATTTTCGTCTGTAGGTTGAATGCTTTTGGGGTGAACTATCGGTGGGAAAGAGCAAGATTTGGAAAGAGGTAAGTCTTCTTCTCTAAGTAAAGGCACATGGATTGTCACGGAAATTAATGGCAATGGTCCAAAAATGCTTTATTGTGCAAAATTAATGGGAAACAAACAGCCGCTAAAGTTTTGGCTAATCAAACTCTAGATTAGATGTTTTAGTTCATGATAGAAGCCATAAAAATAATCAAATTCAAATAAACAACATAGAGAAGAGAATAAAAAACTAATTTTGGTAGATCTTCAATCTCTTTTTCAATTTTGTTATTGATTTCTCCTTGATTGCTTGATAATTGCTTCTTCTCTCCTTCTTGCCCAGTTAAATTCTCTTTTGGATTGTGGCATTTAGGTTTGTATTTATAGTATTTTGAGGTTTTGGATGAATTAGGGTTGGATTGGGTCAATGAGTCCAAAAAATTAAAAATTCCTTTTTTCTCGTCTGAAGGTGCTGCAGTGCTACAATGCTGTTGATTTTTAGCAAGACGGGCGTTGCAGCGCTCACTTCAAGTGAAAAATAGCACTGCACATCTTTCAGTATTTTTATTATAATTTTTTCTTCCGATGTTCAATTGAGGCGATTTAAGATGTGTTAAATATCTAACTCAAAGGGCTCCAACTTTGCTTCAGATATCATTTTCCAATTCCAATGTTTCCAGTGGCAAAAATGGGTCTAAGACTCTAAATATGAGACTAAAAATAAAGAGCATAACTCTTTAAGTTGAAAATTGATGTGTGATCATACTTTGGCTATATTTCGTCCCTTTGACTTTTTTCTTTGTCTTACTAACACCTAACACTCTCGAATATTCATTGTGAGGTCTGACACAACTTTTGAGTATTTATACTTTAGTGCCGTTTCCGTTGGATTCATTTTCACTTATGGTTTTCTGGTTCTAGAGAAAGAGTCTCTCGTTTTGGTTAGAGTTTCATACTATATCATCTTCTCTCTTAAAAATCTCATTTGAGATTGGGAATAAGTGGTTTACTTCCTCTAATTCTTGTATATTCCAAGTGAAATCCATAAGATCGATATGATTCTTATGTTGTGAGGTTTAAGGGTTTCTTATGTGTTTCCTGAGTAGATTTCTTGTTTTTCTATGTGAGAAGATAAGTTCTATATATATATATATATATATATATATATATATATATATATTGTATATTGTATTTGTTAAACTTTGTAACATTTGTTATCGTTTTTGGAGCTTTATAATGCAACCAAGCATTATTCATTTTATATGAATGGTCAAGAGGGGAATTAGGTGTTAAAAGGTCATCGAACCTTTGAGACTTACAGTCGAAAAATTTCTTTGTGTTGATTTTCTTTTCTACAAGTTTTAATTTCTTCACTTTAATTTCTGGTTTGAGAAACCACTTATGTTTGCATTTTTGGGCTTTTCAAGAACCATGCAAATAAACATAAAAGAATTTATATTTTAATATGTAAATAATATTTGTTTGTAGAAGGCGAAAATTTTAGCGGATTTGTATTAAGTTGACTGGCACAAAACTTAATTCAACATCATAAATTCAAAGTGTAATATTTGGGAGATGAGAGTTTGGTGCATTACGGTCTCTAATTGGTATTTTGATGAATTTGTCCTTTAAGACCAATACGATATTGATTATAAATAGGAATTTTTTTTGCTTAAATTCCTAACCTTTGAAAAGTACAAATGAATCTCAAACCTTTATTTAGTATTATTTCATTGAGCTACTAAATATATCATGACAGTCGTATCAATTAAATTTTACATAAAGGAAAAAAGGCTGAATTATCATGCTTCTAAGTGTTTGTAGTTGATAAAATTAAGATCATTAAATTAACTTGTATAACTAATGACATTCGACCAATCTTATTATGTCTACAATATTTGTAGTTGATAAAAAATAGTTCTTTGATGAGTGTATTTCACTCATACTTTAGAAGCCATCTAAGTTTTATATTTAGCTAATTCTTAGGAGTTTTAGAGCGTTTTAATGTGTGGTTTGATGGTGTGATATAGGTTGACGAAATTGAAGGAAATAAGCAAAAATTTGCAAAATTGGAAAATGGGCTAAATTGTAAGAGATTTAATGAGATCCGCATCAATCTCGTTGTGGGTTTCGTAGTTTCCATTGCTACGGGGTTCGCATCAGTTGGTATCAGAGCTTTGTCTCCAATTTAATCAGGTTATATCCTTTGTTTTCTAATTTTTTTTTCAATTCATTGTGTTCTTGCGTCCAGAAGGTTTTCTTGATCTTTTGATTCAAAAGTTTCATCAAAAATCTTCAAATTTCGTTTCTGGACTGAAAATCAGATTTCGTTTTCTTTGTTGGTTTTGTTATTGATTTTCGGATCTAAAAAAAATTACTGTTCATCCGTACGGTACTGTTCATCCGTACAGTAAAAAAAAACTTGTTAAATATTATTGATCCGTCAAATACCAACTTTTATTATTCATTATCGTTTCTAAATTACTTGGACACATTGAATCATTCCATTCCTTCAATTCAAATCAAGTTTTAAAAGTTTTCTTTGAGTCCTTTGTTACAATTATTGAGTCACATCCAGTTTGGAAAATTCTACACGAATTGATTGATTGATTGAATTCATTGATTGTTCCTAGAAGCAATTGTTGAAAGAACTAAGTGGTAAAAGGCAGAGAGGTGAGCTTATTAGAGGGTAAAAGCCCTTGTGTGTGTTCCGAGTGACTTTTGGTGAGGCAGTAAAATAAAATTTTAGTGTTAGGATGTTAGAAAGGACAGAATCAAACTCAAGCCAACAATACAATAATAGCAATGCATCGAAGGATTTAGTGCAAAGGTTTGAGAGGGCGTTTGGAGATGTGAGAGATAGGTTGGAGAAGCAGGAGGCTTGGATGAATAGATTAGATACATCGGTGGCTAATCTTAGTCGGGGGCATCGAGTGGATGTATCCGATGTCAGAGGACCGGATAGATGGGAGCCTAGGAGGGAAAGACGAGAGGAGTATGGATATGGGAGTGACATGGGCAAAGATGAATTTCACGGTGTTGAGATGGGAAGGATGAGGAATAGAGGCGATAGGTTCGACAGACGGGGTCGGAATGATCGCGAGGAAGAGTTGGATGGAAACTTGGAAATATAAAAATGACAGTTCCTTCATTCAAAGGAAGGAGTGATCCCGAGGCATACCTGGAGTGGGAAAGGAAGGTTGAAATGATCTTCGAGTGTTATAACTACTCGGAGGAGAAAAAGGTGAAGTTAGCAGTTTTGGAGTTCAGTGACTATGCAATTTCATGGTGGGATCAAGCGATTACTTCACAACGTAGGAGCGGGGGAAGACCAATCAGCACTTGGGAGGAATTGAAGTCATTGATGAGAAAGAGGTTTGTTCCTAGCCACTATTACCAAGAGATCCATCAAAAACTGCAAGGTCTATATCAAGGGTCGAAAAGTGTAGAGAACTATCATAAGGAAATGGAAATACTCATGATTAGGGCCAATGTGGTGGAGGATCGAGAGGCTACCATGGCATGATTCTTGAATGGGTTGAATAGGAAAATTGCCAATGTAGTGGAGTTGCAACATTATGTGGAGTTGGAAGATATGTTGCATGTGGCTATGAAGGTAGAGAAACAGCTGAAGAGGAAAGGGGCAGCTAGGCAGCCGTTAGGAACTTCGAGTGTTAATCCATCTTGGAAGTCAGGGTGGAACAACAACAACAAATGTGATAATGTTGTACCTAAAGGTAGGAATGAGTGACAGAAAGGGAAAGAAGAAAGTGCTAGCAAAACAGCACCCAAAACAGATTCACAACCATCAAGGAATCGAGACATCAGTGTTTCAGATGCTTAGGGTTAGGGCACATTGCTTCTCAATGTCCAAATAAACAGGTAATGGTGTTGTTGGATAATGGAGAGGTAGTGAGTGAAAGTGAAGGAGAGTTTGAGGATATGCCTGCATTGGAGGACGTTGAAGAAGAAGAAAAATTGGAGTTTGCTGTTGGGGAATCGTTGGTGTCAAGAAGAGCTCTTAACACTCAAGTCAAAGTGGATGATTTGGAGCAGCAGCGAGAAAATATATTCGACACACGTTGTTACGTCAACGATAAGGTATGTAGTATGATTATTGATGGTGGGAGTTGCAAGAATGTAGCTAGCACAACTTTAGTTGAGAAATTAGGATTAGCATTGTTAAGATACCCTAGGCCTTATAAGTTGCAATGGTTGAATGAAAGTGGGGAAGTTAGGGTGAATAGAAGAGTTTTAATTGATTTCTAAATTGGGAGTTATAGTGACAAAGTAGTATGTAATGTGGTGCCTATACATGTGGGTCATATCTTGTTAGGAAGACCATGGCAATATGATAGAAGGGTTACACATGATGGATATAGGAATCGTTATAGCTTTGTCAAGGATGGGAAGACTTACTCTTTCGCCATTAACACCAGCACAAGTGTATGGAGATCAAGTCAAGCTGAAAAGTGAGGAAGACGAGAGAATAAGAGAGTCGGGAAAAAGGAGAGGTAATAGTGAAACCATCATTAAGAGAGAAAATAGTGAGGTGGCTGAGAGTGGAAAAAAGAGAGAGAAGCCACATGAGCGAAGAGAAAAGGAGTCAGTTGAGAGGAGAGAAAAAGAGTCAGCTGAGCGGAGAGAAAAGTCAAAGGTCAACTTCTATGCAAAAGAGAGTGAGCTGAAAAAGGCTATGAGCGATAATAGGCAAATGATATTGTTAGTGTACAAGGAGTCCCTCCTCAATTTTGAGGATCATATTAAGGATTCTAACACATCCCTCCCTAGTTTGGTTAAGCCTTTATTGCAGGAGTTCGGCGATGTGTTTCCTGAGGAGAAGCCAAGTGGATTGCCACCAATCAGAGGCATCGAGCACCAGATTGACTTTGTACCCAGAGCAGTCATACCGAATCGACCAGCTTACCGAAGCAATCCCGAGGAGACGAAGGAGTTTCAAAAGCAAGTGGAGGAGTTGATGAGCAAAGGTTATGTC